GTTTTACACACACACACAAACACACACACACACACACACACACACACACACGTTTATCTATTAATTTATTTATCTATCCATTCATGATATGTGCTGTATCTTTAAAATAAATACTTATCTATTTTTCTCATATTTTAATATATACGTACACACACACAGGTAGAAGAAAGAAAGAAAGAAAGAAGAAAGAAAGAAAGAAAGAAAGAAAGAAAGAAAGAAAGAAAGAGAAGAGAAAGAAAGAAATAGAAAGAAAGATGTATATGTAGAGCGAAAGACTGTTTTGCTAAAGGAGTAACTTACATATATATGGACGTATGGAAGTACTCCTTTAGTAAGTAGTCACTCTCTCACTCTAAATATACTTCTCTCTCTATAGATAGATAGATAGATAGATAGATAGATAGATAGATAGATAGATATGTGGAAATATGGAAATACTCCTTTATCAGTCTCTCACTCTACATAGTTCTCTCTCTATTTATTTTTTAAAAATTGTATTTATTTTATTTTTTATATATTTTTATGATCACACTTGGAGTCTGCACCAGTTGCCCCCAATATATGTCACGGCAAAGATTCCATTGCCACTAGACATGGGGAACAGTATATCTAGTTTTTGGAGTGTATAGCTGTCACCTATAAATCTTGTTCCCCATGTGTGGTTTAAATTTCGGGGAGGATCATAGCTGGGTTCCAATTAAAATTTATTTTCAAATAATGAATGTAAAATAATATTTTTTTTTTGTAGATCTGAAATGGGCTCGCCACACTGTGATAGGGACAATAGTCTTGGAAGCATGTTCTATCCATTACCACTAGATCTGTGACTTTGTGAATCGAGGGAGCTATAAACCTGATGAACACCCAGTAGGATTTGGAGTAATACAGGGGAAAGAAGTAAATCATTGAAGTAAGGAATCCACAGTGTGTCTTGATCTCTGCCATTGTCCTGAAAGCCTCCTTGACGTGGGAACTGTGGCTGTGTTTTAACACCAGTTTATCCAGTCCTGTCCTGTGCAGCCCACACTCCACAAAGCAGAGATCTCCCATTTTCTGCAATAATCCCAGGGGTCTTTATACTGGTGTGCCTGGGTGGTGGCGGAGATTTCACCAGGAATTAAAGAAATGAAATAATCTCTGTTAGTAAACACGGTGCTGGATCAACCTTTCACTTTAGGGATCTTCCAATACAAGTCCTAATACTGGGGATGATTTACTAAAGGAGTAGAGGAACTTCACACAAGAAATTCACTGTACTTATCTAATCACATTTTATATGAGCAAACAGGAATTTGTTTTTGTTTTATTGTTGTTTTTTTTTTTGCATGATTGGCTAATTGATCATTGATAACTGGCTAATTGGTGGTTTCAGTGCCAACTCCTTTTCTAAATTCGGCTCACTATGAATGTGTGCTTAGTTTATTCCAGCAATTAAATGAAAGCATCTCTGTTAAGCTGGCCATACATTATATAATTTTCTTATTCGTTTTCTTTTAGATTTACCTTCAACTATGTAGTAGAATGACCTGCCTGACTGTATACACATTGAAAGTGTTTAGGTTTGACCACATATTATATGGTTTGTGGTAAATCTAAAGGAAAAGTGTACAAGAAAATTGTATAATGTATGCCCGGCCTTAGCAAACAAGGGACTGGGTCAGCCTTTCACTTTATGGATCTGTTAGTACAAGCCCTAATGGAGAGGATGGCTTACTAAAGGAGCTGAGGATCTCCACACATAAATGTATTTTAAATGTATTTTAATATATTACATACATAAATGTATTTAAATCTAATAATTTTATTCTAATCTAATCTAATGTGCAGATGAAATGAGGAAAATTATTTTTTTTTGCTTTTTTTTTGCATAATTGGCTAATTGATCATTGATAACTGGGTAATTGATGGTTTAATTGCCAACTCCTTTGTCTATGTATCTGTGCTTAGTTTATTCCAGCAATGAAATGAAAACATCTCTGTTAGTAAACAAGCTGTTGGGTCAACCTTTCACTTTATGGATCTACTCTGGACACATAAGAAATATGTTATTTTTTCTCAATATGCATGTTGCCTGTGTCCAGACTTTAGGGACACCCTGTACTAACACGCCCCCTAATACTGACAATGGGTTGGGGATGTTCACATCATAGATTTATTTTAATTAATCAGTCCAATTCATTATATAATCTGAAATTAGGAAAATGGAATTTGTTTTTTTGGGGTGTTTTTTTTTTTGTATGATTGTCTAATTGATCATTGATAATTGGCTATCTGATCATTGATACGTGATCATTTATAATTGGCTAACTGTTCATTGACAATTCGCTAATTATTGCTAATTGACCATTGATAATTGTCTATCTGATCAATGATAATTGTCTAATTGATAATTGATAATTGTCTATCTGATCATTGATAATTTTCTAATTGATCATTGATACTTGTCTGATTGATAATTGTCTATCTGATCATTGATAATTATTAACTGAACATTGATAATGGGCTATCTGATCATTGATAATTGTCTATCTGATCATTGATAATTGTCTAATTGATAATTGTCTATCTGATCATTGATAATTGTCTAACTGATCATTGATAATGGGCTATCTGATCATTGATAATTGTCTATCTGATCATTGATAATTGTCTAATTGATAATTGTCTATCTGATCATTGATAATTGTCTAACTGATCATTGATAATGTCTATCTGATCATTGATAATTGTCTATCTGATCATTGATAATTGTCTAACTGATCATTGATAATTGTCTAACTGATCATTGATAATTGTCTATCTGATCATTGATAATTGTCTTACTGATCGTTGATAATGGGCTATCTGATCATTGATAATTGTCTAATTGATAATTGGCTATCTGATCATTGATAATTGTTTGATTGATAATTGGCTGTCTGATCATTGATAATTGTCTAATTGATGATTGATAATTGGCTAGCTGCTGATTGAATTTCCAGTTGTGACTTTAGTAAGTCAGGCTCAGTCTATGGACGTGTCTACTGTATCCCAGCAGTGAAAGGCACTGGCCGATCTAGCAGGTGAGGAAGCTCCTATGTTTAAATAAATGTATGTATTTATAAATTCAATATATTGATTTTTTGCTTTAGCGATCTGCAAGCTAATGGTGGTCCTTCCAGCGTGAAATGTCGTCTCTATGAAATCATCTTTCTAAACTGGTCAGATTTTCCATAGCTAGCTCCCAGTCTTCCACCCCCATGTCCTTCTCAGGCCCTGGAAGTCCTGTCCTGACTGATCAGGAAGCAGGTTGCAGCAGAGGAAGACCAGGGCCAGTGACAGAATCCAGGTAGAGGCCACCGCACAAGGCTGAGTTGGCCATACACGCTCCAAGCTGATCGTACGATCCCCTAGCTCTAGATTCCAATGGCACAGGTACAATCAATGAGATGGCGATGGGCTTACCTTCCAGCCTTGGTGACGATCATCTCGGTGCCCAGCTGGTTGAACTCATCCCACAGCGCCTTCATCTCCAGCTGGACGGTGATGTTGGCCACCTTGGGGTTCTTCTTGACCGGAGCCTTGCCGTTGCCGGTGCTGCTGCCGCCGCCGGCGCCCGGGGTGGAGGAGGACGAGCAGCTGGAGGACGAGGCTCCGCTCTCGGGCTCTGGACACGGGTGGCTGGAGGCCGGGCCGAAGCTGTAGGAGTGCTGGGCGGCGGAGCACGGCTCATAGTGGGCTTCATGCTGGCTGTAGGGGTCCCCCGGGGACGGGGAGAGGTGGTAGCCCCCCGATGCGTTCAGGCTGCTCAGGCTGTTCGCTGTAAAAGCTGCAACATCGCAAAAGTGAGAGAGCTGGGTGAGCCAGGGGCTGGAGATGGCTGAAATCATTCCAAAGAATCAATAGGGGGAGCGCATCAAAGTGTCACAAGAAATCAATGCAAGGGGTGCCGAGTCGTCCTGGGCTCTCCGAGCATACACACCGGGGTCACCTACAGTCCCGGGAAGTCTGGGGGCATGTCTTCCTGCTGGGGCCCGAGCTGTGCACTGCAGGAGCCCAGAGCTGGCTGCCTCTTATCTGGAGGCTGGGCCTCCCCTCCTCCCGACACCAAACCGCTTCCTACTTCTAGGGAGATAAGTACACGGTGGAAGCTTGCAGGTAATGCGCCTTGTCCTCGCCTCTGGGACCCTGATGGGATGATTGACACACAAGTGCCTCTTCTTAACAGAGCTTCCTCCTCCTGACACCCACTTTTCAGGGCAGTTATATAAGGCCTTCCCCTTGGTACACCCCCTCCTCTCTCTGCCTTCAGACCTCCCCTTCCTATTGTTTAAACAATAGATATACACACTTGTGTGCAGCTCCATCCACAACTAAACAAACTGGGCATTTTTTTTCCGCTAAAAGCAAACAGCAATCACCAATGAGGTGTCACCCCACCCCTCCCCCATCCCTCCACCTTGGCTCCATACCTTCCCTAGTAGACCATGAAGGACAGGTCACTGAGCTGCTCCTCCCTGCCTATCTCCTACTCCTAGGTGACATATTGCTGCTAATCACAATGGTAAGCACATTGAGATGGAAGCTGCAATGGTAGGTCTTTTACCCCAAGATATGTGATACTGGGCACTTCTGGTTGTGGGAGTTGAGGGATGAGCTGGCAGCGAATGGGTTAAGGTGTCTACATCTTACACTAGTCACGATTGATGACATAGATGGCTAAAGTGCACTGATCAAGTGTATGAATGAATCTGTCTACAGAAATTGGTGACATTTGTATCTAAAGTGTATTGATCAAGTGTATGAATCAATCTGTCTACAGAAATTGGTAACATATGTATCTAAAGTGCATTGATCAAGTGTATGCATTCGTCTGTCTACTAGTCACGATTGGTGATATATGTATCTAAAGTGCACTGATCAAGTGTATGTATTAGTCTGTCTACTAGAAACGACTAGTGACATATGTATCTAAAGTGCATTGATCAAGTGTATGAATTCATCTGCCTACTAGTCACGATTGGTGAGATGTATCTAAAGTACATTGATCAAGTGTATGAATCTGTTTGCAGAAATTGGCGATATATGTATCTAAAGTGCAATAATCAAGTGTATGCATTAGTCTGTTTACTAGTCACGATTGGTGATATATGTATCTACAGTACATTGATCAAGTGTATGTATGAAAATGTCACATATCATATGTCATATAACACTAGTCACGATTGGGGATATATGTGTCTAAGGTGCATTGATCAAATGCATACATTAAACTGTCTGTACATAGTCACGATGGGTGATATATTTATCTAAAGTACATAGATCAAATACATACATTCATTTGTCTACATATAACACTAGTCACGATTGGTGATATATGTATCTAAAGTACATTGATCAAGTGTATGTATTAATCTGTCTACAGAAACTGGGGATATGTGTATCTAAGATACATTGATCAAATGCATACATTAAACTGTTTGCACATGACACTAGTCACGATTGGTGATATATGTATCTAAAGCACATTGATCAAGTGTATGTATGAATCTGTCACATATGTCATACAACACTAGTCACGATTGGTGATGTATGTATCTAAGGTGCATTGGTCAAATGCATACAATAAACTGTCTACATATGACACAAGTCACGATTGGTGATATATGTATTTAAAGTGCAACAAGTGTTATGTATTAATCTGTTTACATATAACACAGTCGCGATTGGTGATATATGTATCTAAAGTACATTGATCAAGTGTATGTATTATTCTGTCCACAGAAATTGGTGACATATGTATCTAAAGTGCAATGATCAAGTATATGTATTAATCTGTCTACTAGTCACGATTGGTGATATATGTATCTAAAGTACATTGATCAAGTGTATGTATTAATCTGTCTACATATAACACTAGTCACGATTGGTGATATATGTATCTAAAGTACATTGATCAAGTGTATGTATTAATCTGTCTACATATAACACTAGTCACGATTGGTGATATATGAATTTAAAGTACATTGATCAAGTGTGTGTATTAATCTGTCTACATATAACACTAGTCACGATTGGTGATATATGTATTAAAGTACATTAATCAAGTGTATGCATTAATCTGTCTACATATAACACTAGTCACGATTGGTGATATATGTATCTAAAGTACATTGATCAAGTGTATGCATTAATCTGTCTACATATAACTCTAGTCACAATTGGTGATATATGTGTCTAAAGTACATTGCTCAAATACATACATCACACTGTATACATATAACACTAGTCATTATTGGTGATATATGTCTCTAAAGTACGTTGCTCAAATACGTACATTACATTGTATACATATAACACTAGTCACGACTAGTGATATACAGCATGTATCTAAAGTACATTGATCAATTGTATGTATTGTTACAAAGTCATGATTAGTGATTCATGTATATAAAGTGCATTGATTGAATTACACTGTATTATTCTGTCTATATCTAACTACTGTCATGGCTGGGGACATATGTATGTAAACTACATATGTATTTCACACTGCATTGGCCAGGAATATAGCAGGTCTTTTACCAAAGACATATGATAATAGGCACATAAGTTGTGGGAGTTTTGGGCTGAGCTGGCAGTAGATGGGTTAAGCTGTCTACATATAGCACTAGTCATGATTGGAGATATATTTATTGCATTGATCACGTGTATGTATTAAACTGATAAAACACTAGTCATGATTGGTGATAGATATATCTAAATATCTATATATATATCTATATATCTATCTATATCTATATATATATATATATATATATATATATATATATATATATATACATGACATATGTATATAAAGTAAAATATTTAACTGTAACTGTCTAAATATAACACTAGTCATGATTGGTGGCGTATATATCTAAAATGCATTGATCAAATGTATATGTTAAACTTTATATATATAACTTTAGTCATAACTGATGACGTATGTATCTAAAGTACATAATACAGGGAGTGATTTATTAAACCTGGAGAGTTCAAAATCTGGTGCAGCTCTACGTAGAAACCAGTTTTAGTAAATCTCCCCCACAGTGTATGTAGTCCATGCTAAGAGTGATCAGGAGAATGCTGAGAGCCAGCAATGGTAGGTCTTTTATCCAAGACATACGATATTAGGCACTTCTTGTTGTGAGAGATGAGGGTTAGATGGCAGTGTATGGGTTAACCGTCTATATCTTACACTAGTCCTCATTGGTGACATGTGTATGTGAAGTACATTGATGTAGTGCTTGTATTCCACACTGTGAGTTCTAGAGGAGGGTTCTAGGGGTCAGCAATACATCTTTTCTACCTTCACATTAGGTGACTATGCCTGTTGCTGATGATCTGAAATCTGTACTGTCTGTGATCCACTGACACTGCAGAGGATTCAGCGATATAAACGAAGTTACCGGAATTTTTATTTGACGAGGTGTCATCAAATGCCAATTGTTATAATTGCCGCCTGTAATAAAAGGCACTGCTATATAATTAAAATGACTGGGTATGCCATTAGAGAACAATGACATAAGGCATGACGTCACAGGCAGGGCAAGGCTGATATGGCATATGAGGGTCTTTAGATGAATCTGCCATTCATATGTCTAGAATCTCTCCATATGTAGATGTTGTGTTGGATTACAGAGGAGGTATACAGCCCACAATATATTTATAGTCAATGGGAAATGTCAGACGAATCAAATACTAATCACTGTGTGTGCTGGAGGCAGCTGACTTTGTATGGGCTGTTTTATGTATTTATTGATTCGATGGACTGGAATATGTTTTGTTTTACCTGGTGCTTCATACATCGCTACGGCCCTAGTGAGCAGCACTGGGTGACATAAGGACATGGAAGTCTTCCACGATTTTATTATCAGTGTTGTTCCAGAGCTGTCAGGATGTCATTGTGCACTCTTCTGGAAATGCCCATATGCTGCCAGACCACGGGCACTGTCATGGGTCTAACCCTGCCATGATGACAGGGACACTATAGGGTGTTGATGAGGACACTTACCCTCCATGTCCCTGGTCACAGCACTGAAGTGCATTCTCATAGGGTGACACTGGAATCTGCAGAGCTTGTCCAGGGCAGCGCTGGGCTCCTCTGTGGTCACTTCTTCTGAAGCTGAAATCAGAGAGGCGATACTGAAAGCATTGGCTTTGGGGGACAGAGGACTGCACTCTTCCATAAGGGACCCCTAAACACTGTCCCCGGAGAACACCATTCAAGGCCAAAGGAAACTATTACTACACAAGAAGAAGAAAGAAAGAAAGAAAGAAAGAAAGAAAGAAAGAAAGAAAGAAAGAAAGAGACAGAAAAGACTACAGCAAGACAGCTTTCATATCAGCTGCAACAAGTTTGATCCTGCCAACTCTATTGTCTGCTGTCATGTGCAAATAGCTCGGCCCTGGGATTTCCTGGACTATCAGTGATCGGATGAGTCTTATCTGTCCCCAGTCTCTCTCCTGAAGGCAGAGCTGCCTGATGTCACCGTTTATCCTGCAGCCCTGGGTGTCACCGAGCCCCCGCCTCCCTCCCTCCTGGCCTGCACGTTCTTCTGCTGGATGGCTCATGGAAAAAGAGCCCTGTCAATCAGCAGGACTGCCCAACACTGCACCGCATACCTAC